TATAACCGAACCGATTCCTGTCTGCCTCACTGCTGAGTGGTTCGCAATTGTAGCTGTCTAGTTTTGTTTTGAATCTCTGTCTTACTATCATGCGTCACTGTTTAAATGGCTAAAAATTGTCATCACATATCTGAGACTAGCTGATATTGTCTATGAAATTATTCTGACATCACTAGTTTTTTAATCTAATCCACTATTGCTAGCAAAGTGCGTTAGCATTTCGTTAGACTGTTAACTTGTCATTTGTACTTACTGTCTTTGTTTTTCTCTTGCTCCATCTCTTATGAGTCCATAAAGCAACTGTGGTAAGTCAGAATCAACTAAAAATCAAGGTGAATTATAGTATCTTCTCTTGTTATTGTCATTTGCCCTGCTTGCCGCATGTTTAGTGTAGACTTCTCTGTCTGTGTAGCCTTTTCTGTTCGGAGGGATTTACATGTGATAAATGCAGGGAAATACTGTAGGCTGACAGAGAACATTTTTAGATTTTTTATTTTTTTTTACCAACAGAAAAGCCTTTTCAACTCTTTAAAAAAAAACAAAACAACTCCAGGTGTTTTTTTTTCATACAGTAGCTAAATTAACGAAATAAATCATCAACAGGTTCCGATATTTCCTTACAGTAAAAAAAAATAAATAAATAAAAACACCAAACACCTCTGACCTATTCAGAAAAGGCCAATGAAATTGGCAAGTGAAATTTGCATGCGTGGCCACACCCCAGACATCCCATGTTTCACATGCTTCACTCAGTTAGGTTTAGGCTGAGACGACGAGATAGCATCTCAACTCTGTCAGTAGCAGTTCAGAGTTTTGGCATGAGAGACACAACATCTCTTGCTGCGTTCAAGTCCTCCTGGGACGTTCGTACTTACGAGTTGACAAGTCGTAATTACGACGTCAGGTGCGTTCAAGTCAGTTTAGTCGGCACAAGATGGCGGTGTACCTTCTTTTAATAAATTACAAGAAAATACAACAGGGTCTGCATTTTTTTTACTTGGATTTCATTAACTAGCTGCGTAACAAGAACATGACCAGTTTAGGTTTATAGGACAACTAAACTATCAATTTAAACAAAAATTTACCATCAACTACAGAAGTTGCATCCATTGATTCCGCCATGTTTCTCATTGACACGTCCCCAACTCGGAAACTCGGGGCTTAAAGAAAATTTCAAGTTTCCCACTCATAATAACGACTTTGTGGTGGCGTTCATGTGCGTTCAACTCGTAAATACGATCTATCCGACATGACTTGAACGCACCATCTGTTCGACATGAGGGTGAGTAATTAATGACAGAATTTTCATTTTTGGGTGAACTATCCCTTTAAGTCCCAATCTTTTTGATTGATCCATTTAAAGAATCAATTTAAAAGAGTCATTTGTTCATCAGTGTCATTTGTTTGTGAATTGGACTCCACTGATGTGGTTTATTTGTTTTTAAGTGCAGCCAGCAAAGATCGTTGATTATTAGTTGTTTTGGGATTATTTGACAGTATCTAGGACTATGATTCAGTCTGCAAACTTCAAATTTGATTTTTGTGGCCTAAATATCTAATCTTCTCTATGATTTCCTGTCCTCTTGCCATTTTTGTGTGCGAAGATACAGTAGAGGTATATTGCTGCGTTCAAGTCCTCCTGGGACGTCGTAATTACGACATCAGGTGCGTTCAAGTCAGTTTAGTCGGCACAAGATGGCGGTGTACCTTCTTTTAATAAATTACAAGAAAATACAACAGGGTCTGCATTTTTTTTACTTGGATTTCATTAACTAGCTGCGTAACAAGAACATGACCAGTTTAGGTTTATAGGACAACTAAACTATCAATTTAAACAAAAATTTACCATCAACTACAGAAGTTGCATCCATTGATTCCGCCATGTTTCTCATTGACACGTCCCCAACTCGGAAACTCGGGGCTTAAAGAAAATTTCAAGTTTCCCACTCATAATAACGACTTTGTGGTGGCGTTCATGTGCGTTCAACTCGTAAATACGATCTATCCGACATGACTTGAACGCACCATCTGTTCCCTCAATCAGGGAATGAGGGTGACAATAGAAACCAAGACATTCCCTAATGGAGGAAACAGAGATGTTATGTTGGAGTTCTGACACTAGGGGTCACTATAATTAAATGCCACAACTAACTGAACTGTGTTACAAGTCTATGGTTGGCAAATGCTGACAAGCATAGAGTGTCCAATTACCAAATGCACTTCAACCCTTTGTAACCTTCCAATGCCCAGAAAGCATGGCCTCACATCTCCTTCGCCTATAGGAAACGTACCAAAACAATGAAAAGAAGTCACTTTAGCTGTACATAGCCTTTTCTATAAATCCTGAAATAGTTAACCTTTAACAGCTGAGCATACCACAGCTGACCATACCTGGTTAACACTGGGAAACGTTCTCACTCTCTTAGTGAGAAAGGAACACTGGGGAGGTCACATCATACCCAAAGGGGGTGGAAAACATATGAAAAATATATCCCATGGACTTAACAATGGGAAGTACTAATAAGGGAAGTCTCTGTGTTTATGACATTTTACATTTTCAGTTTACTGACATTTTATGCACCAAATCAGGGATCTCCAACCCTGCACTTGGAGAGTTACTTTGGAAGTGTAGTCCCAGAGGCAGTCTGGCGGTCAGCAGTTAAGTGAATTCATTCAACATCGATTTGTGTCAGACATGGACTACTACAATTTAAGATAATTCATAGGCTTCGCTTTTCTAGAAGTAAACTGACGAGAATATTCCCAGAAATTGACTCAACGTGTTCTAGATGTCACAGAGGTGAGGCTGCTTTGGGTCATATGTTTTGGACATGTCCAGGTCTAGGACCATTTTGGTCTGCTGTGTTTCATATATTTATGAAAAGGAGATACAACCGTATCCAGTAATAGCAATATTTGGTGTGACATCTGAGAACCTCTCACAACCACCAGGTCAATCGGGTGCATTGGCTTTCTCTTCTTCGTTGGCCCGACGGCTTATACTCTCACAATGGAAGTCAAACGCCCCACCAACACATATCAAGTGGGTAGAAAGTGTCATGGCATATTTAAAGTTAGAGAAACTCAAATATTCCATGCAAGGCTCCGTTAACAGATTTTTTTTTAAAGTTTGAAGACCTTTCCTAATTGCAAGCTCCCCCCTTACGGTCCTGAAATCTGCAGGACAGTAGTTCTCCAGGAGCAGGAGGTCCTTGTGCTAGACTGATAAACTAGATTGGGGGTTCTCAAACCTGTCCTGGAGGACCCCTAGCCCTGCACATTTTGTATGTCTCCCTTATCAGACACACCCAATTCATGTCTTGCAGTCTCTACTAACGAGCTGATGAGTTGAATCCAGTGTGTTAGATAAAGGAGACATACAAAATGTGCAGGACTAGGGGTCCTCCAGGACAGGTTTGAGAACCACTGAACTAGATGAAACTAGATCAGGGGTGTTCAATTCTGTTCCTGGAGGGCTAATGTCCAGCAGATTTTAGTTCTAACCAGCTCCAACTCGCTTGCCTGGAAGTTTCTAGTGAGACTGATAAGACCTTGATTAGCTGGTTCAGGTGTGTTTAATTAGGGTTGGTGCTAAACACTTCAGGACAGTGGCCCTCCAGGAACAAGTTTGACACCCCTGAATTAGATGTTTCTGACCATTGTGCTTGTGAATCCTCATGTAGGATTTATTTCAATTTTTCTTGAACCATCTCTTTTGATCTTGAATTTAATTTGAACCCACTGCACAATTTCATTGAGCTCTGGGTTGAAATGCTCTTTCAACAATTCCACACAACAGTGCACAAATTATTTACAAGACTGTATGTTTGACTTCCAAGAGAGCTCAGTAATTTACCTCAAATGTTGCTCAAAAAGATTTCACATTATTTGTCCCAAGACTGGGATTGACTATCAAATGGTGGGACTGTTTCTCACATGCCTGCCATCCTTTTTCATTCCGTACAAGGCTCCAACTTGTACTGAATTAGATTCTCTACCGCAAAAACACATTTTAATTTAGATAAATTGAGAGTCATGCTTGGCTATTAAGGATAATTTACTAAGTTCAGGAACAAGCAGTACAATTAACGGTGTAACAGGTGGACTTAACATTCACACCCAAAGTTGAACCACACTAGACTGCCCACTATACATATCATAAATGTTCATATACAACAGTTCACTTTTAAATGTCACTCTACAAAAGTGCACGTCATTTTGTGAAACGCTTAAGTGAAAGGAGTTTTTTTTTTTATATGACATTACTGAAGAGAATACTCTTTTGGAGAATGGACTGTGACTGGAGAGACCACTAATCTGAGGGTGCATGTGTGTTTCCGGTCTTCAATTAGTAAACTGCATAATTTGTGGTTTCATGTGAAAACCACTAAACATAAAATAGCAGACACTCCTGGTTTCACTTGTTTTGCTGTTACCATGGCTATGTAATAAATAGCATTCGAAATATAAAAAATCTGTTCACAATTTAGGATCTTCAATGTCTTGTCATAGGGAAGCAAAAAGTATAGATATTCAATGTTGGAACTTGTTTACACTATCGTTTACATTCTTGTCAAGGTATTACAGAATTTATATTTTTAATATCTGACAGCAGCAGTCATTCAGACCAAACAGCTAGGCATATTTTAAGAGAAGCAAAAATCCATGCAACATTTTTTTTTCAACATCAGAATTTTAGATAAAAATATAGGCTATATAAATATGTAAGAAAAACTGAATGTTAGATCCTTCAAATGTCTTTGTGTCAAAATTAAACTTACTGAATCTCAAATGATCTTAGCACTTAATTTAGGTAACTAGAAGTACTAAAGTGAGAAAAAAAAAAAAAAAAGGTATGAAATCTCTTCCTTGAATGTTTCTACTAGATAGTAATGAGACTAAATAGAAAGTAACTGGAGACTTTTTGTAAATCTATTTCTTCTCAGATTTTTCATGTAAGAAAAATGTCCCAAATCAGAAACTGGCATTACAAACACAGATTAAGTAGACTGTATCTGAGGCTCAGTTACAATTTATTTGAATTTTGTATTCACAAGGTAAATGCATTCAAACAGAATCAAAAATATGTATCTGACAAATGTTAGTATAGACTTATTCACTCAAAGTCAGTTTTTACTCTCGTTTGGCACATGAAAAGTGAAAAAAAGGTTGATAGAAACCCTATAGATTGAAAACCGTTATTAAAAAATAGCACAATTATTAATCTGCAAAATTAGTTATTACAAATATATTTGGATTAGATCATGTAATGGACAATTTCTTTTTTTTTTCTTTCTTTTTTTGCTCAGTGTAGTAGTGTAGGGTAGTGTAGTTTAATAAATATATTTCTTAGAAATTTTCATTAGGAAAATAGACAAATGTTATAGATCAGAATATATCAAAAGTTATGACAGCACATCTGTCCTGTTAGAAATAACAACCTCTGATCTGAGAGGAAGACTGAGGTCTTTAATCCAGTGAAGGAATTCTTTGTGGACTGCCAAAAACTGTAATCTTAAACGAGAAAATAATTAATTACAGCTGTCTTAAAACATGTAAAAGATACAGGCACAATGCATTACATTTAAATAACAGATTAATACATACCCCCAAAAATTAAAAAAGTCCATGAACCTCTTCACTCTCAGTGTCAAGATCTATATCATAGAAACATGGACGAGTAGGAAGGCCAGGAATAGTCGGCATCTGCAAAAATAAATAAATAATAATGAAAGTAAGAACATTTATTTTACATGATACCAATCACAATTACTACTCTTTTTTTTTTTTTTTACATAACTGCTGATTCTTTCTGGAATGAATGAATGGAAGAATGAATACAAGTTATTTCAACAATCAGGAAAATCCTTTTGTGTTATTTTTTCCAATTATTTTAAAATAAAAGAAATAGCAGTATACTTACTATGTAAAAACTAGTGTTGTTTTTGGCGGCCTGTTTTAATTTTAGTTTTAGTCTAGTCTTTGTGTGAAGCTGTCATTTTAGTTTTTATTAGTTTTAGTCACGTTCATACTCTTTTTAGTCTAGTCAAGTTTTAGTCAACTAAAAAAGTCCGAGCATTTTAGTCTTATTTTAGTCAGAATTATCCATGACTATTTTCGTCTAGTTTTAGTCGACGAAAACTGATGACATTTTAATCTAGTTTTAGTCGACGAAAACTGATGACATTTAGTCTAGTTTTAGTCAATGAAAATTGTATTTTAGTCTCTTTTTAGTAATGCAATTGTATTTAACCCAGTCAATATAGTATAAGTACCTAGTAGTATAGACGAAACCAAAATTTTCTTTTAGCCAAACCCATTTCAAACAAGGTTATCTTATTATATTATTGTTACCTTATAGACTCAAGAATACATCCATTCCAGACAC